CCCGCTGCTCGCGCCTCCCTCGAGGCCTCCCGCTGCTCGCGCCTTCCGCTCCCTTTCCCTTTCCCACTGCCGCTGCTGCTGCTGCCGCCGCTCGCCATTGCTGCTGCTGCCGCCGCTCGCCGTTGCTGCTGCTGCCGCCGCTCGCCGCTGCTTCCTCGTTTCTCCATCAGGCTCAGTATACTCTTAATATTAAGTTTATTTGAATTTTGAAATGATTAATTTTCTATTAATAGATTAATAATATATTATTTTGATTTTAATGTTATTAATTTTTATTTATTTAAAATTATTAATTATATTTTATATTTTTATATTTTAGCGCATCGCTTCGCTCGGGCGTTTGTGGACCTTGGCGCCTTTTGGCGCCTAGCACTTTTTAAATCACTGCATGTAACACAAAACCAAAGTATTTGAAAAATGAATAAAACTTTTTGCATCATGATTGAAAAAATAACAAATAGTGCTTCCAGATAAGACCAAGTGCATCCTGAGAAACCTGTTTCTGATCATGATGTTTTAGGTTGACACCTATGTTGATATTTACTTCAGGGTTAGTATTTCAGGGCAACATCTTATTTGAGGATGAAACTTGTCACTTGAATTCCCAGTTTACTTATCAGGAAAGAAGTATCATCACAAAATTCTGACTGTCACATGTGAATATTTGAATTCAGTATGAATTATGCGAAATTGCACTAGTTAATTGCATGCACTTGTATACTATATATGAGATTTGACTGAATGTTGAACTTAAAGGATGCTCAAACAATAGCCAATGTTAATGAAAGTTAGGAACATATTTGACTGATGTACAATATGCGACTCAATGCTACTGGTACCGGAAATACTAAGACTCATGTACTTTTGTAGGGGAATCCACTTTATGAATTAAATTCTATGATGACTGATATTCAAATATCAATCAAATTCATAGTCACATAAATATGTAATAAGACAGAACTATATTTTAAATATAGGATAGTGTTCTAGAAGTCTTAAAAACTTGATCTTTTTGATGGCATAGTTGATGTTTTTGTTGATTACTTGATGCTTGTTGCTAGATTAGAGTGTGCCTGTTTTGGGAGTAATCGACTTCTTTAAACTTACTTTTCCAAGAAAAGATTCATAGGACTCGCAAAACTCTTGCATCTTCCAGTTTTAATTGGTTGAAGTGTTTGAGTTAGAGACAGAGATGAGTTAGTTTAATCATCTGTGTTATCGATGGCAGTATTATTGGGTATGAGTGAGGCATGTGTGATATGAAATAAGAATATTGTGGTACGCCGAAGAAAATAATTTATGGGTTGAACTGTGACTCAGATGGAGGGATAGTTTCTTTAATCTTGACTAACCAATGATCTGTGTCTCCAATGACAGAGGACTAGAACACTGGATGATGGAATGAGATTGAAATTACAATCACATCATTTGACACTTAACAGTGGTTGTCAATTATGGTTGATTGTGGTCATGCAGATCCAGCTAGTGGTTTTAATATCAAGATGTCTATAACAATGGAGTCGAAAGGTTTCTTGAGCTACCAAGGGCTTGTTCTTTTAGAATACTTTTGGTTGTGCATGATAAGTGACATCACATGCCATCATCTACCTTCCTATCATATGTTAGCTAATAGTATCTTATATATCTTTTGACATATAATGGACTTTATAGTGATAATGAAGTTCATCTTCCATAAGCCACTTTATTATTTGCATTTTATTTCTTTTGCTGTTTCAGCACAAATTTTTCATGAGTATCATCAAAACACTACTGAAATTTCAATTGGTGTGTCATCCTCTTTTGTTTGTTTTTGCTTGATCCTTTTATAGAACATGGACAACGGAATTTGAATTTAACTTATTTGCATACTTTGGTCAATATGTCATGCTGCTTCAGATCTTTTTAGTGGAACCATTCTCACTCGGATTAAATCCTGTGTGCCCCATTTCAGTGTTGACTTGAATTGCCATTTCTGTTATTAAATTGCAAGTCTTTTACCTATAATATGATTATGTTTTACAAATAATTAGTCATAGAATTGTGACAAAGCTTCAATCAGGAATTCGTAATATAATGTGACTCGATGTCTGTAAATTAAACTGCATCGAGGTTTTCTTTCTTTCTTTAGCATATGTTTGCCATTGGCAACTGTAATACGAGTCAACACTTTTAATCGGATTCTATGGATTGCTTGCATCAGTTTCAAAACCCGTCTTATTAGCTCCTTGGATTGAACATTTCTGCTTGGCTTCAATTCTTGTTGCTACTACCCTTTCAATTCTCAAGTTAAGGCCACTAACATGCATGACATGAAGTCAATGAGAGAACAATAGGAGAACCATTACCCCTAATTATGTTACGAAAAAGAAATCTCACTTTAGTATCGCATATAAATAAATGTTAACGATCGTATTTCATAATTTAATGGAATTGATGAAAGAATTGGACAATTTGACTGACGTGAACTGATCTGATTCCTACCTTTCTATCATCATATTACACATCATCATGTATAATCTATACACGCATCCACCGACGGGACTAATGTTCAAATGTCCGCTTAAGAAGAAATCGGTTATACGGGTCGGATCCTGTTAAAGGGCTGGTGGCTTATTGAAACGGGTCGGGGTTCGGTCGTCCCCTTGACCCGTTAGGTCAAATAGGGGCCAAGATATTTTAGACGCCATTCCTCCTCCTCCACTGTCCGCTTCTTCGGCCCCTTCCGCCGCCAGTACCGCTATTGCCACTACCGTGCCTCGTGCCGACCATTATTCCGCCCCCTCCCGTCTTCGTCGACTGGCGCCCGAAGTCGCCCTCAGCTCCCTCCCACTTTACCGATGCCCTCCTCCTTGCCGTTCTCCGTCGTCAACTTTGCCTCGATCGCCGGGGATGGCTTCAGGGAGACGGATCGGGTTGACCCGTCAACCCGATGGGTCAGGTCCGCTGACGGATCGGATCAAATTCCGAGCTATTGCGCTGCTGTACCTGTACTCCGCATGGCCAGAAACCATAGGCACCTTACGTTGGAACAGGACAAAGACCGATCATAACGCCTGGCCTCTCCTTTGCCTCGCTTCATCTCAATATGGAAGTATACTTTTGTTTTATTCGTGAAATGCCTCTCCCGATTTCGATGTCCTTTCTGATCCATATACTCTAAAAGATATTATGAGATGGTGGATTCGTAACACCTCGAACAAATCGCGAATTCAGTGTGCGAATAAAAGGAGGAGCTTGTAAGCCATAAGAAAAGGATAAAATATTCATGGCCCAGAGGCAGAGACAGACTTGGAATAGAGAGAGTTCTGAGGCGTCCGCTGATCTCAAAGATGACTTCTCCTCCCCTTCTCTCCCTTCTTGTGCAATCCAGCAACCACATTTTGCTCCCAGATCTCCTGACGGAGGAGTTGAAAGTGGAAACAAAAACTTCCTGTGAGTTTTCCTTCTTTCTGTTCTTCTCGCTTTATATTTAATATTGTTAGTGCTGTATGTTCTTAACAATGTCGTATTAGTCGTGGATGCAATATTAATCATTGCGGAATATATTCTGATGAACTTCATTGGATTCCTATTTCTTCTTTTTTTTTAACTTTAGATTTATCCTCCTAAATGTTTCTTTGAATTAAGGCGTTCATTGTTTGCATGTTAAGTTACTTATTAGTTTTCAATCCTCCTAATTGATTTTAAGAAGTCAAATTTGAGTCGAAAAGTTTCTCACTTTTAGGTGCTTCAAGAACTGCAACATCACTGCTGTTACAGATTGTCAAAAGCTAAAGATTCACTTCTTTTCCTTTTCGTTTTCTTTCTCGAGGGAACATTCTGTGTCTAAATTAATCTCGCTTGGCGACAGTATAGTATATACACATAATTTGAACTTCTGTTTGACAATGGTTTTGATTTATATACCTCAAGAGTGGATACACCTTATTCCTTACTCTTTTAAACACATAATTCTACTAGAACTTTATTGAAGGTGTGTTTCCTAATAAAATGAATACTGTATTTATCTAGTTGAGTTTATTTTTCTTCTCATTTAGTAGACCTTGTACTATGCCTCTTTTGTTTAAAAATGGCATCAAGGGGAACCACAAAGGCCAATATAAGTTCCATCATGTTAATTAATTGTCATATCATTAAATATTAATAGACACATCATATCCATGAGCTTAACTTCATATATGGAATGAAGATCTTAGGTGAAGTATCTGTCCTTGTCCAATTACTACTGATTCATAAGTCTACAACTTAACATGTCCTATGTTGTTGCAATAGGTTATGAGAAGGATGTAATGATATCATATTACACATACGAGTGGACATTTGGAGAAGTTCATGAAGAGAGGCCTCTTAGGAAAGCAAATGAATCTTGCTTGCTACGTTTAAGTGAAGGACTACAGACTCGCTTCCATGTTCAATTGAAAGACTACAATCTTCAATCTTAAGTAATTTATCAAAATAAAGACAAAGCTATGATAGTTAATATTCACACATTCCTGATCTATCTACATTTACTGTGTCATCTTTCATGTGTCGGGGAAATGTAAAATATTGCCCACTTTTACACAATTCTATCTATATCCATGTACCACTGATATATCATCAATTCTCTTTCATTAGCAGTGATTCATTTCTGTTGGCTTTTAGACACACATGATGCACGTGCCTGTGAAATTTGAGTGGATTGTGATTCTGCTTGCTCTTTGAACTATTTTATTCAAATTACAAATGATCTTATATGGTTTGGTGGCTATCACATAATTATCTATTGTATGAATTTCAATCACCAAATATCATAAATTCATGCTTCTAGTTGATGCTAAGTAACTTCAAATTTCCTTTGTATGGTCATCATAGAAAATATGCATGGCAAATTTACAATCCTAATGTAAATTTTCTTATTAACTTTTCTGGTCTCAGTCATTTGCTCCTTAGCCTTCGTCTATTTTCTTACAGAGGAATTGGTCAAAATAACTCAGACTGTCCTCAAATGGAGGAAGCAATGGACACCAAAAAAAACTCTTATCTTGCCAATTCCTTCTCATCACCAGATGGTTCTTCTGCTCCCGATTCTAAAGAGGATAATGGTAATCAACAGCATGGAGCATTAGACAAGAATGGCAAAATTCCATTTCTTACTAATGATCTGAACACTTCAACTCTAGACCAAAGAGGATTTGTTGTATCGGAGAATAAACCAGTAATTAAACTTGAGGGTGTAAAGGTCGATTTACCCAATGTTCATAGAATTTTGGCACCTTATTCTTCCAATGAATCAAATGAGCTTGGGACACCACAAAATGGCGTATCAGAGAATTTAAAGAAATATGATGCAAGCCGAGTACTTGTTGATACTACAGCACCTTTTGAATCTGTTAAAGAGGCTGCAACAAAGTTTGGAGGGATTGCTGATTGGAAAGCACAGAAGACCTTGATCACAGAGGTAAATTTCATTTTGATCTAGCAATTGATTTTTTTTCTTTTATCTTTGATATTAATTTTTTCATGACTCATAGCAAAGTATTTCTTTCAGTGATGATAATATTGTTCTCTCATAATAGGATCCACTTGAAGTAGATCTGTGGCTTAACTTGAATTCTGAAGTCCTTTACTCAGTTTTACTAATTTTAATTACTTGTTATGCTTTATTGACATCATTATGTATTTTAATGCTCTGTAGGAATGTTACTTTAACTTTATAGAATATTTGCTCTGCTTCTGTGATCTAGAAATGAGCGGCTATGTAATTTTAGGACTTGCTATATCTTTTATAATGTTAAAAAGGATATCATTAGCAACAGTAAAATTACTGGATATGTATTATGTAAATATGGACGAGTCTTCTTATTCCAATGATAATCCTGTAGTGGTGATTTTGCAATAGTTTCTGAAAGAAGAATAATTGATGTGTTCTCCCTCTGGTATCATATATTAGCATAAACTCCTTTACTGGAGGTTCTAAATTGTTTCATTTGGTTATACACAGAGGCGCAAGCAAGTCCAATTTGAACTTAAGAAGGCACAAGAAGAAATTCCGACGTGCAAAGAACAGCATGAAGCTGCTGAAGCTGTTAAAGGACAAGTGTTGAAGGAGCTAGACTATACAAAGAGACTGGTAGAGGAGCTTAAACTGAGCCTGGAGAAAGCAGAAACGCAGGAAGCACAAGCAAAGCAGGACTCCGAACTTGCTGATCTAAGATTGAAAGAAATAGAGAAAGGAATTACTAATAATTCAAGTGTTGTAGCCAAGACACGACTAGAGGTCGCCAAAGAAAGGCATGCAAGTGCAGTTGCTGAGTTGATATCAGTAAAGCAAGAGCTGGAGTCAATGCAAAGAAGGTATGTTTTATTAGTTCATGAAAAGGACATTGCAATAAGGACAGCTAAAGAATCTGTTTCTGCATCAAAGAAGTTAGAGAAGACTGTTGAGGACCTAACACTCGAGCTCATCACAACCAAGGAATTGCTTGAATCTGCTCATTCCGCACATCTTGAAGCCGAAGAACAAAGAATTGGTGCAGCCTTGGCATTGGAGCAGGATAAATTGAACTGGGAAAAGGAAATGAAACAAGCTGAAAGTGAATTACAACAGCTTAATGAGCAACTCCTTGCAACGAATGATCTCAAGTCAAAACTAGATAGAGCTTCTTCATTACTGGTTAGTCTAAAAGTTGAACTAGCTTTGTACATGGAGTCAAAACTAAATCTGGAGGTCAATAGCGCAGGAGAACTGAATCCGATAGTTCAGACAGGAGACATCAATGAGACAGAAACAAATGTTCAAGCTTCATTAGCGACAACCACAAAGGAACTCGAGGAAGTAAGGTTCAACATTGAGAACGCTAATGATGAAGTCAACTGTTTAAGAGTTGCAGTTTCTTCACTAAAGTCTGAGCTGGAAAGAGAGAAAGCATCTCTGACCACGGTGAGACAGAGGGAAGGCGTGGCATCTGCATCAGTCTCATCTCTTGAAGCTGAGCTCACTAGGATAAACACTGAACTAGAACTAATTTTGATCAGAGAGAAGGAAGCCAGAGAAAAATTGGTGGAGCTGCCAAAGGCACTGCAGCAAGCAGCTGAGGAAGCAGACCAAGCTAAATTAATAGCTGACTTGGCACGTGAAGATCTGAGGAAGGCAAAGGAAGAAGCAGAATATGCCAAAGCTGGAGCTAGCACACTGGAGACAAGATTAACTGCTGCTCTTAAGGAGATCGAGGCAGCTAAAGCATCAGAGAAATTGGCTATCTCAGCAGTCAAAGCATTGGAAGAAAGTGAACAAGCAAGCATGGAGTGTGAGGACTCATCAAATGGAGTAACTCTACCAATTGAAGAATACTACAGACTGAGCAAGAAAGCCAACGAAGCCGAGGAGATTGCTAACAAAAAGGTAATTTCTGCCATCGAGCAAATGAAAGCAGCCAAAGAATCTGAGTCAAGGAGTTTAATACAACTGGAGGAAGCAAATAAGAGGATCAAGGAGAAGAAGAAAGCACAAAGAGCTGCAGTAGACAAGGCTAAAAAGGCAAGGGAGGGCAAGCTGGGTGTGGAGCAGGAGTTGCGAACATGGAGAGCTGATCATGAACAGCAGAGAAAATTGGGTGGCATCCGTCGAAGCTTCTCTGATTCTTCGAACCTTGTTGCCCTCGGAGACACTGAAAGCATTGCCAGTGAAGCAGGTAGTCAAACAAGAAGTCCGAGGGTGCATATGGCACGATCAAACACAACAAATGCCATGCCTGGCTCAGAACGGAGGCCACGATCATTCTTTCCCCGGATAGTCACGTTCCTAGCGAGAAAGAAGGTTCAGTCATTGAAGTAGACAGAAGCACATACATCTTGCAAAGCACTTGCAATTCTGCATTGTGTTGCATGTAGGACCTGCTAAATATGCTGCAACTAGTTTCATGACGTCGATAGAACCCATGGAATTCGGTGTCAGGTATTATGCTGATTCATATTGTCTGTTCCAAGTAATCTGTTTACTTGTTAAATTAGACATTTTGTGACTAAATTACAGTCTTGAAGTTGAGAAGTGACTAAATTACAGTGTTAAATTAGGCAAATACGGGCGGGGACGATATATTTCTTATAGTATCGGAGGTTTAAATCTAGAATGTGAAGGAGCAAGTCGAGGGTAAGCGCATGCGTGGCAGCTATGAAGCAAGGACACGCTGGATTCAGAGGCATATCCGTGTCACGTGTCAGACACGGATTCGTCATCGAAGCGGTCGGACACGTAACGCAGCCGAATCATTTTTCATTTTTTTTATTTTTAATTAAGTCGGATTCGGGTTGGCGGTCCGACTCTTCCACACCGCGAGCGGAGCGGAGCGGAGCGGAGGCGTCGTGAAACCAGGATTTCTCACCGCGAGCGGGAGGCGTCTGGAATCCTTCTTCCTCCGGATTCCGGGAGGATCGGCGTTAAGAACCGCAGAACCCGACCGAACGCTTCTTCCTCACCGTGCTGTCGAGCACTCGCCCCGAGCTCCCCTCTCTTCCGTCGGGCGCTGCCATCATGGTGTCGGACCCTCCGCTCCGAGCCCACCTCTGCCGCGATCGCGCTGCCGAACCCTCCGCCCCGAGCCCCTTGCTGTCGCGACCTCGCTGCCGTCGCGCTGTCAACCCTCCGCCCCAAGCCCCTCTCTGCCGCGACCGCGCTGTCGTCGCGCGCTCTCGGGCCCGCGGCGACTTAACCGGCGTCCGGCGATCCATCTTCGTCAGAGACGTCCGGCGTCCGACGACGATACATTAATTTTGTTTATTTTGAAAAAACTTAATTTGATTATTAACATATTATTAACCTTTTTTATTTTTTTAATCTGGGTTTTTTACTGCTGATTAAATTGTTAACATATTATTAATCTGTTTTATTTTTTATTTTTTATTTTTTATTTTTTAATCTGGTTTTTTTACTCTTGATTAAAGTGTTAACATAACATTAACCTATTTTATTTTTTAATCTGGTTTTTTACCGCTGATTAAATTGTTACATATTATTAGCCTATTTTAGCATATTATTATTTGTTTATATTACTGAGTTTATAAATTTTAAATGTATAGATACTATAAAACTCATGTTTTATATATATATATATATATATATATATATATATATATATATATATATATATATATATATGTGCGTATCCTTGTACTATAATTTTCTTACAAAATGATACAATGATACGTTGTGGTATACGTGTCATGTCGTGTCCCATATACATGCATCTAACATACCCAAGAGTGACAAAAGAGGATAAGTGACAAAAGAGGATAAGAATAGCATGCTCAAGAGCGATGGGCAAGGGTGAGACTAAAGAGGATGAGGGCATAATAATATTGACGGATGAGGGATGAAGACGATCATAGTAGGGCAAAGGTGACGATCGACGAAGCGAATGCTAAGAGTATCTCATCTTTTAGAAAAAAATAAGAAATGCTCTATGGAAATAAAACAAAAGAAGGGCACTTAAAAAAAAAGATTTAGGGCTTTTCTAAATGGCCCTCAAGAAAATATTTGTAAATTAGATGTAAAACGTAACTTGTACAGATGAAAAGTATGGCCCTAGAGAAAATAACAGTATTTATATTTATGAGTGTAAATAACAGTATTTATATTTATATTTATCACAAAAAAAGTACAAAACTTTAGAATGTAGGTAATCCAAAAACCAAATTCCAACCATCAACTGTTCTTACTATCAATCAGACGAGAAGAGTTCCATATGTCCAGAAAACAAACAGGTCTAAAGGAAGCTGGTCATTCATTGTTCATCAGCTGATCTTTATCCCTTCTTCAACATCCAGACTTTCGTAGATACTGAACTCAGCAAGTCGCCTTATGCTTCAAAGTAGTGCAGAGGCAACAGCTATCACAATCATACAACTCATTTGAAAAGTAGACATTAAACAATTTCAAAAGCAAGAAACTTATTGATCACAGTAATGGTAAATGCAACATGGCTCAAGGTTTTAAAGACTTACTCCTCAGATCATGCTCAACTAATAGCTTCAAAATTATCTAAGAAAATTTGTCATCAAGAACCAGTGTCAAATTTCAACACCACAAGATAAGAAGAAATTGTTGAATGTACATTATACATGTATTACAGCAATCTCATATCCTAATAAAACAGTTTAATACCTTTACGGAAGTCTTCACAGTGCCTCAAATATGGAACCACTGATCCTATGTCATCCTTCTTATTAGCATTACAATCATAAGATGGAGGAAAGTGGAAGCAGGGCTCCATGGTCATGGAATGGAGGCAAAGATTCTTGTTATCAGGTCTTATAAGAATCCACGGGCTTAGACCACCAAGACCTTGTGCCACATACCCAAAGGTTGAATATGGGCTAGTCATCAATGAATCACTCAAGCTCAACAGATACATCTCTGCAAGGGCCTTCATATTGTGACTGAGCTTCTCTGTGTGTTGTTGCTCTTCATGGCTCGGTTGATAGATGCCAATCACCTCTTTCGTCGTTGTTGCATGCTCATAGTACATGTCTCTTAGCTTCTCGAAGTACCCACTGTTCAAACTGGTAACAAGAACTGCTTTTGGCTTCACACCGATGATGGTTGGAAGAGCAGGATCTTTCGGATCAACATCAGGCAATAACTTTTCACTCAGTGCGCAACCCATGATAGAGCTAAAGTGGCTATCAAGATCGACCTTTGCGAATGTTCTGATCTGCATTCCTAAACTTTCTTTTGCATTAGCAAGATAAGCTTCATAATACCTCGTTACATAGCCCCAGACTGAGTTGGACGGATGAAAAAGATATCTTCCCAAATGATGGAAGACAGTCGTTCTCTCTGGGAATAGCAGACTCAGTTCCTTCTTGAACTCAGGAATGAGAAACAAAGCAGGCACAAAGTATTGATTTGATCTTAGCAATAGCCAAGGGAACTTTTGAAGTAGGAGCTGACTCTCTTGGCAGTAGAACATCTTATCGAAGTCATCATTAGAATGAACCAGGTGGAGATAGAGATAAGCTGGTAGTGGAAATGAAGCATTTGCAGGGTTCATGTCATTGCTAAGCACCTTCTTTTTAAGCATATCTCCATAACGATATGGATCTTTCTCGAACCTCCAGACCCATTTAAGGTTATTGATAGGGAAATCGGAAGGGAGAACCCATGTGGTGTTAGGGAATGGCTCACAGAATAGGCCCTTCATGTCTCCAGGAAGGTCGAGCAGTAAGACCTTGTTATTAAGGAGAGCATAGAGGAATGCTGAGGAAATACTTAAGATCCTGTTTCCCAGGCCATCAGACGCCATCCATACCACATAGTTGCACTCCATTGGCCCTGTGCTGCGATTGGACTTCAACTGTTCAACAGCTTTCTTGTAGAGCTCAGTGTCAGGGCCACACTTTTTGTGGCGAGCTTCATACCTTCGGAGCTTCTCCACAAGGTAAGCTGAAGAAGTGTGGTTCGAAACCTTCCAGTATAATGCAGACTGGTAGCGGCTCAGGCAGGAAGCTTCATCAAATACCGGGGAAAGCAGACCTCCAAGTAACTTGTCTTTTGGATGTTCAATGGTGGAAGAACTAGCAGAACAACTACTGTTGGAGACTGAATATTGAGCGCAGAATACCAAAAAAGAAAGTATTCATATTAGTTAACCAGACAGAAAATAAGTTAAATCTTTAAGAAAAAGCATAATATGAGCTCACTCAATCTGAATGAGGCAGGCTGCAACAAAAGAGTTTTTTTCAAATTAGGAGAATCTTTAAGTTTGTCTCTTAATATCATGAGATATTACACTACATGTGCCAAGTAAGAAATTCCATTATTGGTCTGGATTTGTTAGTATAAAATAGATTCCTTTTGGGCCCTTCAATAATTCTATGGAGCATATCATCATTTTTTCCAATTATATTCTTTTTATCTTCTAAAATGGTGGTAATCACTCGACCAATTTGCTATAGTTGAACATAAAGAAAAATCACATTTGTATACAAAACTGACTCAAATATGTACATGTTACATATTTGATGCATGTTGATGTCCATCGTAAATGTCCATTTCAACAATATACAGACAAAGAATTTAGTAACTAATTGATATCTATGGATATGTTTTCTTTCCATACAATTGAGCACATTGAAATTCATGAAGTCGATGCTGACATTTATGCGGTGATAGGGAAATGAGAAAGTAATTAGGAGGCAGATAACTAAAGATAGATGTGTTGATAGTTGCATCAATTATAGTTTGTTTTCCATTTAAGACACTCTGCTTAGTGCAGGATGTTTGGCCATTAGTTGGCCTTAAGAGTATCTAAAGCAATGTACAACAAGAAGGATGTATGAAAGAAATAACACTTCAGTAGGGTCATGATCATGACACTGAAGATTGCTAATCAGGTGAAGGATGATTCGAAAAGTCAGATCCTCTATACTCTTATTAAGGAAATGTACCACAAGAGACTTTGGCTTCTTTGGGCGAAAGCTCAAGGCATGAAGAACTACGGACTTAATGTCATACTCCATTTGGTAACATTGAAGTGCTTAAGGTTTGAGGACATTATCATCTCAGTTGACAACCAAGAAGGATTATAGAATTAAGATTCCCTGTGATGATGCCTTGGCAATCATAATCATTATGTAAAGTTTCTCTATCCATCATATTGAAAATTTAGCTGACATCTTTCACTACAATGCACTTTAGTGTGTAGTACTAAGTTTGTCTTGATGTTAGCCAAGTAGCTCGCAATTGGTTGACTTCTTTGAGACACCATCAGAGAAGGAAATATTTGATAACTAAGGAGAACAAAAGAAAGTTAAATCCATTTAGATGGTTAGCTAAGAACCCTGAATTACTAATTTTGTAATATCTTCTAATGGCACAATGGTTCTCCGATTGAAATGAAACTCACGAGCAAATTAAGCTCAATGCAAAATGCTTTCATCCACTACAAGGGATGCATCATGGATGTCTGAGACGACCTACTTGCAATTCAGTAATGTTGTATACTGACCCTCTAGCAGAGAGAGTCCATTGAACTAGAGCTGTCAATGACCTATCTCGACCCACTCCTGATCCTGTGAGGACAAGAATGTGGATCACAAATATGACTCACATGACCAAAAGGATGGAAACCTTAGCCATTTTATGCTTGACCAAATGGCTAACATGCTAAGGATGAAAACCTTGGCCGTTGAACCCCCGTTGTAAGAGTAGTGGGCAAAATTAAGAGAATTTTTACACTGGGGAGGCACAAAGTAATCAAGTAAAAGGACCACAAGATTCTAAAATATTGACTTCATCAGTTAATTACATTGTCCCTGTGAGAAAGACAAACAGAACATTTATGTATATGCTTGATCGATGCATTTTATCCAAATGAATGTTGTTTATCCTTGGTGCAGCTCTAGGCCATTCTATGCTATGTTTGTTGCACACATGATTGGAATACAAAGCACATATGAACAACTCCAACGACCAAAAAGGCCTCATTCATCACCAAAAATGATCTAGATTTCACAATCTGACAGCAAATTATCTCCTCTACTCATAGTCTTACACTGTTAAGAGCACCACCACCTCCACTATCGATTATGTGAGTTATGCTGAGAAGAAAACTCTCAGCAAATTCTTCTTATCATGAAGTAATCGATTGTTCTAACACTAGTTTGCCCATTAGTCTAAGTTGACCAGTTCTTGTCCTATCAATTTGTATTATAACATTTACTATTTTATTTCTTTTAGTATTTTTGTCCTGACAAGATTGCCTCCTCCCTCCCTGACTTCATGCCTTAGAAATCGTGCTTAAAGAGTATAGTTTAACCGATGATGCGTTTTAACGGGAGAACCGAGCACATGCACGCGCCGTAGAATAGAATTCTGTCGTCCCTTTCATCATCGATCTCAAGCATAGATTAAGCCCAAATCCTACTTTCTCTTCCCCAATTTGGCTACGAATCGCAGCGTGTTATCTACCCGCTTCTAACTTGCCCCGCCGTCGGCCCACCCCGGACCAGCTGTGGGGCCCGGTCCAGGGGAGCTCGTCTACTGGTGGGTGTGGCAGTCGGTCTACGGCGGAAGCAAACAATTTGGGTCCAACTATTGCTTGTCGACCTTCGGAGTGCCTCTCGTTCCCAAATCACCAACCCCACCTTCCATTCTTGTCTTCTCCTCGGAGACGAAGGCCTCCGGCCAGCATCCTACTGACTATTCGTCCAAATCATGAACTTACTGCAAGTCTTTCAGACTCGGAGAATCAATTTAGTCTTCCATTCACAGCTCAACGAATCCTAATCTTATCCATCTTTCCTGGTTTCGTTTCTCCACCAAGAAAGAATGACACGGACATGGGATGGATATTCCACAGAGAAAAGCCCAGAAAGCAGCAGGAAAATGAAACAAGAAATATACGGATGCTATAATATACCATCGGTAAAAGGAATGTGGAGGGGAAAGAAAGTAACCTCCTTGTGATGCTGCTGGGCGATGCAAGAGAAGCAGATCGAGTGAGTGACGGCGATGGGCCACTGAGGGTAGAGTGAGGAGCAGGACGAGCGTGAACAAGGCAAGCACGACAAGCGGCCTCACGACGCCCAACCCAGCGACCAAATGGGCTCCGCCACTCCCCTCGTCCTTCGTCTCCCGTCGCCCGGCGAGCGGCGGCGTCTGCTGCTGCTGCTGCATTCCCATCTGCTTCATCTCCATCACCGCGTCTCCCGCTTCAGCATCGGAGAAATAAAACCTCAGCATCCCACGTTGAATATATTAATCTCACGCCCATGGAAGGCAATCTCGGGGGTCTGCCGCCCTCCGCGACACTGCATTCAATGTCCCTTTCCTTCAATAATTCTTTCTTCTGGGAGTAGAAGAACAGTTCTCGGGGGTGATGGCGGAGTCGGTGCCAATGTCTCTTGTTTAAGAATACGATTGGCATCGCCTCGAAACTCTTACCGTCCCGACTTCTACGTCTTCCATTTGCCTCGTTCATCCTCCCAAGTCAGAAATCGATGGCCGGAAGAAGACAAGCGACGCTTTGCTGCCATAAAAGGTGGGCGGATCTCAAACTCGGGTGTCGGCGGGTAGGCGTATACGTATCGAAACCCGGTTCGGTTCGGTTCGGTCCGGTCCAATACAAGCTTAAAATGTGAGTTGCGGGGCAATTAAACCGACCCAATCTGTAATCCGATGCGTATGCGATCGAAGTTGAAGTTTGACTGGCGAGCCAAATAAGGATCTGATCCAACGATGTGCACTGAGTAATTAATTCGTTTATGGATAAGGGTCGATGCATGTTACATAACTAGCCATGTGGCATGTTGCGCATGGGTCCATTCAATATTAATAGATGGAAAAAAGAATTAGTCAATTCACTATCAAATTTGAGTTTGAGGAGATGATTTTTATGGCATAAAGCCATAAGTTCGATATTGTTATTAGTGATAAGAGGAAAATATTAAAACCAATAAGGATCAAAAGGATATTGTTCATGAAACATAATGTTCATCTAGAGATCTTAACCTTTTTCTTTTTGTCTGTGTCAAAATATAGTTAACAGGAGATGTCTTTGTCTAGATAGTGATGTTGGTTGCTTCGCATAAATGAATGTATCTAAGGAAGACATTTTGATTTTGATAGTAGCATATCGATGTAATTCAAATATATATTTTTTAATCTTGATCAGATGCATTGCACACGAGAGAGATACAATGGTTTGGTTAATAAGTGATTTTGATTTTTTTTTTTCTGTTTAGGATGGATGTATCACAGGAATGATTTGGCTAAATCAACCTCATCGAGCACTATATCATGCACAAAGAGAAACCCTTTAGCCTAGTCGATCGTATTTCAAATAAATTTTTATCCTAAGCAAAAATATCATGCATAGAGAGGTTTTTTGGTTTAGGTCATCACATTTAACATGTAAAATATTTTTTACCTTAGATAGATGCATCACACATAAGGGGACGCTTTAACCTGGTTAGTGCTTGTATAGGTCGAGTCGCATGCATCGAGATTATAACTTAGCCTAGGGCTCGGGTTTGATCCAAGGCGTGAGCTCAAGTGCAACAATTGTAAAGGGTTTTAGGGTCAAGCCACAATCGAGCAATGTCGAGTCAAATGCAACTCTCGAGCTCGAGCTTGGGTGGCACTTAGGTTCGAGTTGAGCTTAGTTGATATAGCCTAGGGTCGAGTGGGGTTGGGCACTTCGATTAGACGTAATTTACTATCCTGATCTAATTAGTTAATTAATTTCATTCGACTCGAGCTAATCGGCCATGTTTTTTCATGCTCGACCTGAACTAGTTGGGTTCGAGATTCAATATTTATTTTTTATTCTAACATGTTAAGATCATACATTACATCCGCGACAGAAACCTATGTTTTCCTCTATGGATTTGATAGGAAATCAACTACATTTCTTAAGATATTTGCATCGATTGAGATTTCTTTATCGAACCTTAGAGTATCTATGATGCTATGATTTCTGCTACGTTTGATCCTACGCCATTTAAGGATGTGATGGCTTGAGGATGCGATCGACTCGAATCCCACCCAAAAACTCTTTTTTTTTCTTTTTATTCTTCCATATCTAAAACTAGAATTACCCTAAACTGAACTAAGCGGATCCCAACAAAAAGTACATGTATATGAAAAGAACGACTCATTACCATCCTTAATAATGGTGGCACTAGCAAATGAATTTGGCCACATGAAAGGAGAGAATTTAGTTGTCCTTAGTATCGATCATTATTTGAGTTCCAGTTTTGTTAAAAACTTGATGTTGGAAGATAAATGAATTCGATAACAGATCTTGCAAAAATATTTGGGATGCACTCAACACTGCCACTCCAATTGTAATCATCAATATTTTTTTCTCTCGACATAAATTAATAATATATTTTAACTTCTTTGTTTGTGTAGTATGGTTAAGGAAATGATTAAAATTGATTTCCTTAATCAGATGGATAAGTTAGTTAATTTTTTTATCAATTAATTAAATTATTGATTAATTTATTTCTTAATGAGTGATGTGATTTTTAGAAAGTAAATAGTTTATATTCTATTTTTGTGTATGAATCATAAGAAATAAATATTATATTTTTTATATTTGTATATAAAAGTAAAATAAAAATATATTTAAAATATAAATTAAATTATTACTTACCTTTCGTCTTCTCCTATATAAAATAGGCTTTTCCTCTCTCATTTCTTACTAAACTTGATAGTGAGAGGATTAAGGAGAGAATTCCTCGAAGCGAGGGTGGTAGGATCATCTATTTCTTTTTTAATCAGTTTTGATTTATGTTTTAAAATATTTGATATTAGGATTATTATAATTTTATGATGCATAATAATATCTTAATTTTAATTTTGTATGATTAATAAATAATAATAATTGATTGGTGATGTTAAAATGATTATTTGATTTATAATGATCTCTTAAGATTAAATGAATCTAAGATTGATTTAATTATTAAAATTTTTATTTTTAGATTAAAATAGTTTTAATTTATTTAATTAAATATATCTATGTTTTAAGAATTATACATGAATTTATATAATTTAATTAGTTTTAAATTTAAGATCATAAATTTAAATTCTTTAATTTATGAATTTAAGTTACTTTTTGATAATTTAAAATATTAAAATATAATTTGATAAGAGGAATCTTACTCGAGTTTAACCTGAGTCAAGATGATATACTACATAGGGTTGATCCAACCCTTATAGTCATATACGACTTAGCCCATACAACTAAGTATAATTCAACTCATTTAGCCTATGTAACTAGGCATGGTCTAACTCATTTAGCCAAGTACACCTCAATCAATATGATCAATCCCAACTTATGTGTCTAAGCACAACCTAACCTGCAAGCCAAGCATAGCCCATTTTAGTGATCAAGCTCAGCCCAACTTATGAGTGAAGCTCAATTCCGTCTGTAAAGTTAGGCCTAACTTATGAGTGAAGCTCAATTCGGTTTGTAAAATTAGGCTCACCCAATTATGTAATTGACGCTAGACATATCATCGCTCCTCTATCCATCTTGTTGTACCTTAACCCAATTTATTACTTGGGATAAGCATGTGCGGCACACATGACCCATCAAAGACTCACCTCCTTTTATAAGTTTGAGCTTATTAATTGATTGAATCAGACATGTTTGATCAGTTCAAGCTTGTTCAGGGTGATTCTAAACTAACTTGACTAGTTTAAACCTATTTGACTCAATTAAATTTAATCAAATCTAAATTAGACTAGTCCTATAACAAGGTTGGTTCCATTAATTTTTAATTTAATTGAGTTTGGTTTAAATGAATTATGACACTTTAATTAGGGTTTTGGTTGATTGAGGACTACTGAGATATTGATATCTCATGTATTTATGATTTGATGAACTTAAAGTTTTATCTGAAGGTATCATTTAAAAATAATTATCAATTTTTTACTTTTTTAAGTTTATGATATTAATATGTTTATTATTATATAATATATACAACTATGCTAGTGGTCCACGTTAGAAGTGTAAATTATGAAAGGCGCTACGAGTTTATCATAGTGTGGAGCCACCAATGGACATAGTCTAGTAGACCTCATAATATTTTATCATACTATTTCTTGAATAGGTGAATATAAATAAATGATCATAGTTATTTATATATCCCTACCAAGGACATGTAGGGTGATTCCATTTAAAGATTAGCGAATCGTTAGATGATTCCTTCATCAATTGTCGGGCAGATGAGAGATGTCACTCCATTCATTGTTGGAGATACGATATGTGTTCTCTCCCTCCGCTGTTGGGAGAGTGCATCATCGGGTGTGATATACGTTTTTGTTATCTGACTATTATATATGTGTTGCATGTGACTGATGCATGATTTATATAAAAATTATTATTATTATTTAAATATATTAGTTTTATAATCAATTGATATATTATCATTTTCATATTAAATTATTAATATTTATATATATTTTATAAATATTAAAAATAATGTTTATGATTTTTCAAAGATTATGATTGTTGATATATTTTTATCTTATATTTATTTTTAAAATAATCTATTACTTTGTAATAGATTTAAGGTTTGGGTGGAAGAGACTTTTTCGTCACTTATAGCCACTTATAGCCATTCCAAGAAGATATGATATTTTTTTCTTATTAATAAAAAGATTTGCTATTATAAAGATAAGGATTTGAATTCAAACATAAAAAAAAATTATCTTCTGAATAATAAAAATAATTTATTATTTTTTATAAATATTATATCGGAGTAATGGACATGTTAAAATATATGATCATACGATTAGAATATTAGATGACCCAATTAATTTTTGAGATTTAGATTTTGGGAATTACACAATAATGCAACTAAAGCATGATTTAAGATATTACAATCATTTTATCGAGCTAAATATGTTTTTATTTTTTGATAAAAAATAATTAATTAAAGATATTAATCTTATTAAATGATTTGAACTAAGATTATTGATTAAAAGGCGGAGGACGTCCTTTTGTGAGGACAGAAAGAGGTAAAAAGTACTGTTTTGTTCTTTTCTCATTAGATCTACAAACTGCATGGACGGACCACTCTCATAAAGAGATGGGTCCAAATCATTGCCCCGTTTAATTCGATTTGAACACCACCACTAGACTTAATAGTTTGAGATGTAATGTATAACATCTCTCTTCTCCACCTATTCCTCAGGATATTGGCATATCTTTCAATCTTTGCCTCCACATGACATCAAAATCGAGACAGACATTTGGAAATATGCATATTTTGATGTGGATTCTTCGGCTATATGAACTTCATGGATACAAAGATCGCAAATAAATCCTCACAGTAAGCGAAAGGGCAGCCCCAAGAAATAGTAATTTGTACCAAACCTCACGGAAACAGTACTTCGGCTAACATTTCTTATTTTCCTTGCGTTTTCAGCAATGAACAAAAATACGTAACAAATATAATCTACAGTATCAATTACTTGCCCTCTCGCTGCCACCCCCGTCCTTCAATCGAACAGCTTAAGACCCCAGCGGAAATCTAAATCTTCGCAGTGCTTCACGTGCGGCACCACCGTCCCTTTGTCGATGTTCCTCCCTGCCTTGCAGTCGTACCCCGACGCGAAATGGAAGCAGGGCTCCATCGACAGCGCCCGGCGGCAGGGTGGGTTCTGGTTGTCCGGCCTCAGCACCATCCACGGCCTCAGTCCGCCTAGACCTTGCGCCACGTAGCCGAACGTGGAGAACGCAGTGGTCACCAGCACGTCGCTGAAGCTCAGCAGATACATCTCCGCGAGAGCCTTCGTGTTGTGATTCTGGTTCTCCGTGCGCTGCAGCTCCTCGTGGCTTGGCTGGTACACGCCGATCGCATCTCCGGTGGTCGACGAATGCTCGTAGTACATGTTCCTGAGCTTCTCGAAGTACCCCGTCTGCAGACTGGTCACGAGCACAGCTTTCGGCTTCACTCCGCTTGTCGTCAGGTTCGCAGGAACTTCCACCTTGATGTCCGGCAGTATCTTCTCTTTCAGCGTGCAATTGACGACTTGATCCAGCATGAGCTCCAACTTAACCGGCGCGTTCGGGAAGTTCCTGACCTGGATGCCCACCCTTTCCTTCGCATTGGCTAGATAAGCTTCGTAGTACCTTGTGACGTAGCCCCAGACCGAGTTAGTAGGATGGAGAAGGTATCTGCCCAAATAGTGGAAGACGGTCTCTTTCTCCGGGAAGAGCTTCTGTAGTTCGTCGTTGTACTGCGACATGAGGAACAAAGAGGGCGCGAAGTACTGGTTTGATCGCAGGAACAGCCATGGGAAGCTTTGAAACAGCGGCTGAGCATCTTCACAGTAGAACATCTTATCGGAGTCATCGGCATCGTGCATCAGGTGGAGATAGAGATAAGCCGGCAGCGAAGCAAGCGTGGTGTTCATGCCATTGCTAAGCACCTTGTTCTTGAGCAGGTTTCCGTAACTCTGAGGAGATCCGCGATAGAAGTCGTGGGTCTCCAACTTCTTGATGGGGAAATCCGAAGGTAAAGCCCACGAAGTCCCAGGAAATGGCTCGCAGAACATATCATGGAGGTCATCAGGAACACTGAGCAACAACACCCTGTTGTTGAGGATCGCGTAGAGGAATGTGGAGATCAGGCTCATCAATCTGTTGCCTAATCCACCGGATTGCAGCCACACCACGTAGTTGCACTCCAAAGGCCCTGTGCTGCGATTGGATCTGAGCTGCTCGATGCTCTTGTTATAGAGATCGGTGTGCGGGCCACATCTTTTGTGGAGGGCTTCGTAGCTTCGCAGCTTCTGCAAGAGGAACGGCGATGGCGTGTGGTTCGATGACTTCCAGAACTGTGCGGACTGGTAGCGGCTCAGGCAAGAGGGTTCATCGAATGCAGGGCTCAGTAGACCTCCAAGGAGCTTGTCCTTGGCTGGCTCAATCGGAGATGCCAATGAGCAGTTCTGGGGACCTGAGATTTGAGAACACGGACGGCAATGTTTTAGCATACACACAACCTGAATGAGATGAAGTAATGGGATGTTGCAGAGAGACAGAGAGACAGAGAGACATGAAGTGGTTATGAAAGAAATGTAGACTACAACACCATTCTTACCAAAAACATATATGTGCAGAAGACATTGATGCCCAACTCTCATTCCAACACAGGCTAATCTACAACAAGAAATTTGATAGCAAATGAAGTAATAGATTGTCATTTCTGTCTGACAGGATTGTTGGCTCTTGAAACCTTATGTTCTCCTTCAGAATCTCTTGAAATCCATTTGATTTGTTATGTTCTTCTTCTTCTTCTTTCTTTTTTCATTCTGCATCATTTGTTCCCTTTTAAATTTGATTTACTTCCTCTTTCAGAATCTTACTAGATAAAACCAATTTAGAGACATCATACATATTAATTGTGAAATCTGATAATTATTTCCTAACTAAGACAGACTGCAATCTAATTAAATCAGCATCATAATTAACATACATTGAGTCAAACATCAGTCCAAGTTGATAGATTGTGGACTAGACTCGGATATATATCATTCGACTCTCTTGTACTCTTTTAGTCCATCTTTTTAATCTCTCTTCATATATGAATATTTTCTAACAAATCCGAATTACCACAAAAATAAGAAAAAAATTCACTTCGACTAGATTGCACCATTCATCGAAGCTTCTTCTATTGTTATGCTGGTCATATGCAGGTAGTAGTTTAGGGAAAAGCCGATAACCCATTGCTACCAACTCTATTCTCATTTGCTCTATACCTTCTAGCCCAGCCCTCCATAGAGACCACAGGAGATTCATGAATAATATATTCATTTAGGAGATGGTGTTGATGAAATGTGAGAAAATGGACATTAATTTGTTCTCCGAGTAAGAAATAGTCAAGGGGAATCATATGAACAGAAAAGATCAGAGACAAGAATAATAAGCAAGTGAATGAAAAAATAAAAATAAAATTGATACCTTTAATAATTATTATATATTTGTAACAATTGATACCAATTATTATCCCTTCCCTGTAAGTGTTCTTATATTCGAAGTTACTTTGACCAACCTCCTATAAACATCACATCTGGGTGTTCAAATCATTAACATTATAGTAGGTAAATTGTGGGCTTCCTAATTGGTCAGCTGTGCTAAAGTTTTCTATGGGATATTTGATTGAAGTTCAAACATGAGCCATCAATGTAGTTCTGCCACAAGACTTTCAGATTTGCTACAAATCTGTACACAAATATTCTTAGATTATGGTCAGGCACAATAACCCTGTATTCAACCAGAAGGTTGGAATTTATTTCTGATTAGATGTAGCATGGATTTTTATCTATCTAGCTTTTGAGCAAAGATGCAGCAGAGACATTATAAATCATATGTTTCATTTTTAAGTAGAGATTGTATGAGGAAGCTAGTGAACAAGAGGTCTGAGATCTTAAGAGGACAGGAGGAATGCTGAAAGAGATCCTCTTGTTTAGTGAAACTTATAGATGATGATGATGAAGAAGCAGATGAAATTTATAACAGAGGTTTCCCCCAATCAATCAATGGTCAAAATCTAAAAGACCCTACTTTTGGTGCAATTGGATGCCAAACAGAGGTCAACTAAGTTGCAGAAAGTGATCTAAGCCTCCGGGTTTCGATCGAAAGCAAGAAGGATATGAATGAAGTGGAAGAAAATTCACCTTCTTCTGGGGCGGAGTAACTACGAGTGAGTAGATCAAGCGGCAGATTCCGAGTAGCTCCAGAGAGGAAGATGAGCAGCAGGACGATCGTTAGGGCAGCCACCACCAGAAGTGGCCGTCCCGCCGCAGCGCCGAGGAGTTTATCCCTCATAGCTCAGCACTCCTCCTCCGGTGGCTCGGCGCTACCCTGCAGCTGCTGCTTTGCCGCTTCCTTCAGATCCGCTTCATCTCCGACGCCGCTCGCTTCGTCAACAACGGGAAAGAAATTTATGGGCAGAGGAGGGGGGAAGGCTGCTACCGAACCTCCCAAGAACAGGTCATTTGGGAATCAAAATAAGGTGGCTTTGATCAGATAGGAGTTCAAAGCGATTACGTCCCGATGTGAACAATCTTCATTACTGCATGTTGACAGTACAATGATTGTGATGTTGATTGGCTTTGCGCAGTGCAGCTCAAGTTTGATTCCATTTGCAAAGCTGGCTGATTTCCAAGCAATCGGAGTAGAAAAATCGTGGGATTTGACCGCATTGTTAATGAAATGAACAATGTTGACCAATTCATTATTGGGAGACGTGAAACTATCAACCATTTGGCATGTTAATTCCATGCGTGACAAGTCGAAGAGACTTCAAGTGTGACGATGATGTATAGCAACCCGTTCAAAGGTATTATACTAAGAGAGAGATTTCAATTTGAAATTGACGCCACAAGTGACTGAGTTCAATAAAAATAATTGTCTTCCATTTTATTTTTTTCTCATCGCCTCCTCATCAAGCATGACGGCCTCCTCATCAAGCATGACGGATTTCACGAGAAGAAAAGTCTTGGCAGTGGTAAGAGGCGGCAAAGTGGAAACAGGAATCGGCCGACACGGATTGAAGGGTGGCGAGGAGGGACTCGTTCTTGACCAAAACTAGCACATAGATTGGTAAACGCTTTCCAGACTTGATGTGGTGGGGTCGAGAGAGGGTTTCAGTTTCGATAGGGAATCTCCCATCATTTATCATCCAACACGTGATTGTTATGTATCAGCCAAATCATCTGTCCATCTGCGGACGAAAATTCACAATAGACAAAAAAAACAAATCTCATTATCAATCATTATTCGAGAAAGACAATTATAAAAAAAATGTCATCGTCTAAAATATTAAAAAAATCTTAAATCTAATATAAAAGATTCTTTTTAAACTATTCAAATTCATCTCAAATTCTTTAACTCAGTTTTCATATATGTGATATCTCGAAAGCACAATATTTTTATTTCGAAATATAATAACATAGTCTGAATCACATTAGAATGATCAAAACATCACAGTTACAATCTAAACCAAAACAATTGTTTGAAAGATATAAAGCAGTGAATGGATCATCTTCCGGTTGAACTCCTCTTCCCCTCAGCTGTCGAGGGGGAAAAAGAAAAGAGCTGTCCGGTCTCAGTGTCTAGCGAGATGGGATCATGCTATAAAGAGAAAAAAAAAGGGGGAGAAAGAAGAAAAGTATGTCACTGCATGTGATCACATGGTCAAGTGGAGTGCTATTGAATTATATAAGCACAATATGCTAACATGCTTTGTTATCTTTTACATAGATTTAGTTGAAAGAATCTCCACCATTGTGACAAAGTGACACATTTATTAAATAACTTAAGAATATGGTTCTAGATGATGTTCATCAAGTTTTTTTTTATCACCCATCAAGAAAACACCACACAAAATTTAATTAGTTGATGCACTGACCTGACCAATGAATTTGCTTGTATATATACATACACAAGTAAAAAAAATTCAGGAGTAAGCATAATGTTAGAAACTTGAATTTGAATTATATAGCAAGAATGATGGGAGGCATAAAGACACCAAGGTAGCACCTTCCTTCTTTTCCTGTGCAATTGTCAATCCATTTAACAGCACGGATTTGTTTATATAACATTGGAACAGATGTACTAAATTTACATCACCCTGTAGCTCTGGATGGCTACCTACCAAACATCGTACTGTATTTTAAGTAGCCTAAAGCATCTCAATTTGTTTAAATGATGCAGCGAGTGAGAACGAGAGAGAGTGATTTGAAACCAGGGAAGGCAGAAATCAGTATTAGCTGACAAAGAGGTGGCGCTTGAGTTGGTTTGCCAGAAGAAAGAAGGTCCAGAAAGTATGCTTAGTAAGTGACAGCTCTCCAGATGCATACTGCCACCAATTTTCCATACTCCAGCTTGCAAGAAGACCTGAAATGAAGAGGAGAAATCAATTGCAGTGAGCCACCCATCGTTTTCTTCTTGGAACTGCTGGCTGGCAACTCTTAGGAGAGGTTGAAATCACATTTGTCCAGATAAGTCATCGAGAACAAGAAAGTGGCAAAGATACTGCCAAAATGGCCCCTTCCCGTGAAGAGTAGTATCCTATAAAAGTATTATGTTAGTCTTCAATGATAGAGAAATGATTCATAGGCAACGCCAGTTATTCCATTTGCATCAAAATTGATAAAAAACAGAGTACAGCGGTTGCCTAGTTGAAGTGTCTCACCAACCAAGACATAAATCAACATAATGGAAACGTCAATGTCTTGAGAATTTGTAAAATAGATCACATCCCCCAACAATTCGACATGCATGGCATCTAGGAACAGCTGAAAGCCATGTGAACAATTGCAAAGCAAGCAGGGAAAGATGAATGGCACAGATACATACATCTAGTATGACCACTTTTCACATGGTATGCAACTACAGATTTTACAGACATTTGAACCCTTTCTCCACATGCCAATGCAAATCTTCTTCTTTGGAAAATGCCTCAACTTCGTTTCTTATCACAAGTAAAAGCACTGTAGCAGTTTGCAAAAGTAGCAATGATTACAGCATGCTGTTACCATATCATGAATAATGGTCCAATTGGCTCTTGATCAGATCACTTTGTCTGGATATCCAGCAATTCCCAGTTTCAGTATATCATTGTTGTATATCGCAAAATCATGTACATGGCAAAATAAGGATCAAAGTAATATTCAGATCTTAATTACATTTTCAGCATATCAAGTATAAAAGTTGTGGTGGAGAAATTAGCTTCTAAAGACAGCTTGGTCTATGAAAACCCAACATTTGTCTATCACAAGCTTCTCACAATAGAAGGAATGGCCTTTGTCCAAATTGAATGCAGAAAGTTGAGATAAGATTGAAGCCAAATTGTTGCATAATAAGATACTTTCTGGTCATAATCATAGAAGAAAAGACTACATCTGCACAAAGTACAGAACCAAAGAAACTAAAAAAGAATATGATTTATTCATTCCTGTAAAGAAGCAGTAGAATATACCCTAAATGTCTCCTGGAATCAAGTATCGTTGCCAAACCATGTTCTACACCTCCAGAATAAACTCAGACCATTTAAGTTCGAAATTGAAATTTTACAGAGTAAAAATCAGTCAGATCATAGATTAGAGGTGATGTCTGACCTGATATGTAAAGAACTGGAGTTGGATACATACAACTCACCTCAGGGTACTCTGAGCCATGTGTCACTATTGTGCAATGCGCATCATGCTGACACCTCATTAATGTGTTCAGTGCAACTTTTACCAGGTGGAATGAAGATCAAATTATCTCATCCAGAATTCTTGTCATTCATCTGCAATCAGATTGAAACAAAATTGGATCCTGCAAAAGTTTAAAGAAGTGATTCAAAAAATAACTAGTGAAGATTTCTTACCTCCAATTTTTCAGAACATCTTCCAGACTTTCCACCTGCATGGATAAAGCATTAACAAAATTGTCATGTGAGTTCATAAAACTAAAACATTAACAAAAGGATCATACCATAATATCGTGAGAAAATTCTGATCCACTTGATGCCTTGGAAACCTTGAGAAGCTCTCTTTCTATATCTTCCTGCATTAAGAAAAAAGTTGATCAAGTTCCTCTACTTCATACAGATTCCCACCCGATATAATTTACTGCAGTCAAAATATCCAACCTTCTGGAAGTATATGGGGGCAATACTGCTTGTTCTTTTCCTTAACCAGAAAGTCTGACAGCACACCAAAACCATATGATGTCACTTCTGGGAAACAAACATGAACTACAGGAATAAGTCATAAACATAAGCTGACTTGCGACCCATAATTACATAGAAAGAAGTCCTAGCACTGAGCAGATCAATGATTACAATTTTGTCCAGACCTGTTCGTGCCTGTTGGTATATTTACTGGTCCAAGCATGAACCAGTATTCAGACCGTCCTCATTTCAAGCATTACATTTGATCCACTAAAAAAATTGTTTAAAGTTGAAGAACTCATGAATGGGGCTCGTGACTTCTCCTTCTCCAGGCACGAAATGTTGCAGTCTGTCACCGGCTGCCTCCTCACTGCCCATCGTGTGCCACCAACATGGTTTTGAGTATGTTTCCTTCTCTTCTCCTCCTACCTCTTTCTCCACTACCTCCTCTTCTTCCTACCTCTTCCTCCTTCCACTGCCTCCTCTTCTTCCTTCCGCTTCCTCCTTCCCCTTCCTCTTTCTTCCTCCACCGCCTCCTCTTTTCCCTTCCTGACCCTCCTCCTTCTTCCTCCTTTGACTCCATGCCCTCCTCTTCTTCCTTCTTCTCTTTCTTCTTCCTCTTCTCCTGTTCAGTACATACCCATGGACCAAGTGTCGGTACACTGGTACTGCCAATACATACCGGTCCAGCCTAGGACCAGTACAGGGTCCAAGATGAGATTGCAATCCATGGAGCAGACTGTACAAATAACAAGGTTTGAGCACTTTGAAAAGTTCTAAGCATATTACTGAACATTTCAATAATTTGCACTTTTATACAGAATCTAAAATTGTTAACACAGCAGCTCGGGCACTATTAGAAATTAAGCAAAATGGAGCTCAGCTGAACTTTTTAATATCATGAATAAGCACCATATAATCTAGCTATTGTTTAGCTTCAGACATAAGGCCTGTATCCAACGAAACTCTTTAAGACTTGTTATTACCATGCAGAGAAATGTCATACATTGTAAATAACATTTCTTTTCTTCTTTTCTTTTTTCTGTGCAATTTGATGCATCAGACCCCACGAAGGGGGAGAGATACTACCACAGAGGGAGGATTAGTGCACCAAAGCGCCAAAGCGAGGATTCAAATCCTCAAGATGGGGAAAGAAACCGGGGGTGCACAACCACCAGGCTGCCTGGTTCAAATGACATTTCTAACCAACACTCTTTACAAACTACAAATGATCAACTAAACAAATTCTTCATTTGCTATTTCTATCAATCATCATAACTAATATCTAGAAATTATTTCATGGTTTAATTTCTACTATGTACATAGTCTGGATTCAATATTCAATCTCCAAAATTTCATCTATTTTAAGAGCCATCAACAATCAAATATGCTGAAAAAAAAAATGCATACCTGAAAAACAGGAACTCCATCAAAGCTTCTTGAGACATTTGCAGATTTAACTGAAATCCAAACAACTTATCAGCAAGCTGTTCAAAGACGAAGGGAAAAAGGAACAAATATCTTTACCAGGAAAAATATATAGCAAGAACCACTAGAAGAAAACAGTAGGCAGATAACTTGGAATTCAAATATCACATAGGAAACAAGGATTTACAGCATGCTGGACTGAAGATTCAAGGCTAATATGAGGTAAGCCACAACACTCCAAGGAGAACAAAGAAATGGTGAAAAGGGATTAAAATTTTGTGCTAAGGAAACGGAGCAAGAACCTAAAGAGGCAAACCTTCAAGTTAAAGAAGCATAACATAAAAACATAAACAAATTATTCTAATATTTGACTATTAGACATATGTCCTAAGATGGCTTTCCTGGCTCTAGTGGTACTATAAACTCCGTGAACATAATAAAAGGACTTATAACGAGACAAGGACACCTGTTGTTGCTTAGAACAAGATGACCCTAACTATTTATATATTAGTGATTTAAAAAACACAATGTGCCAAAAGACGCTAAAGTCCTAAGATGCCTGAGGCGCTAGGCGCTTGCCTAGATGCTCACTCAAGCAAAGCGAGACGCTCTGAAATATTAAAATATAATAATATATGATATAATTGATAAATATGATTATATAAATAAAAATACAACATTAAACTATTGTTAATAGTAATTAGAGTGAGAGAAAAGAACTGCTAAGAGGGGGAAAAATGTCACCAACAATGGAACTTTCGGACGATAGAGACGGCGATGGAGGAAGCCGCAAACGACAACAACGGCAGCGGCGGAAGCTATGGACGACAGTAGCGACGAAAGCTGTGGACAGCAACAATGGCGGAATCTGTGGACGGCAACATCGTGGGCAGAGGAAGCTTCATAGGTGTTCGTCGATGGCGGAGGAAGTTTTGTTCCTCTCCCTCGATGGTGGAAGGAGCTGCAAAAGGAAGCAGCAACAGCAAAAGGAAGCTACAGATGAAGACTAGAATGTCAGCCTCGATCCGCTACGTCTGTGGCGGAGGCAATGGTAGAAAGCGTCGACGGCAGAAGCAGAAGCTGCGCTAGGGTTGATGGCTCGGGGTCACGCGGGAGTGCGAGGGGTTGGCTTTTGCGGGTAAGAAAGTGGCTAGTTGGTTCAATTGAACCAACTAGCCACTGTTGGACCGAACCAGACTTAAAAGTCTGGTTCGGTTGCTTCATTTGAATCAAGCGCTCGCCCGAGGTCCCGGTGCCTGGGTTCAGGCGAGTGCCCAGGTGGCGCATCACTGAAGCGTGTCACCTGGTCCACCCTTGAGGCGCTCGGGTCTCGTCTCGTCTCACCTGAGCGCCTAGGCGAGCGCTCGGGCGCCTATCTAAACCACTATAATATATATTAAGCCAAAAGATACAAATCTTGGTTCTTAATTATATTCTACCACGTCATCAAGTGTTGAAAGTAAGCCAATTGGTGATTTGATATTATGTTTGTGCTTAACATTTTGCATGTATTGTTTATCTCATTGTAAAAGTCATGTGTTCACTCAGCTCTATAAGAGTAATAGAGCATGAAGTGAGATCCTACATTCACCAAGCTAATGGGTTAATTATAGTATTGAAAAAAATATACTAAATGAGAATATTACAATATAATTTATATTATTTTATAAAGTTCAAGAAATGGTGCTTCACTAACTCTAGAATATTTTCCAACGCTTGCTTCCATGCTAGCTTTTAGTTTAGAAAGGTGAAAAAAAAATTACTATAAAAGAAGAAAACTATAAACATTTTATAGTAGGATGAGTATATAAAAAAGACAAATATAAAAAAAAGAATAAATATGTCAAGAAAATAACGATAGAGAATGACCCATGCTCAATAAGCTAAGCAATAAAACAGGCACATGTAACAAAAAGGCATTTATTGCCATTGCAATAGGCAGTAAAAATACAATATATACCTTGACCAAATGTACATGTTACATTAGACCATTTAAAACAAAATTTAGGTATCAAGATTGTAAATCTCACACAAAGTCTAATGTAACCATTAAAAGCTGAAATTAGCATAATTGGGTAACTTGAAGATATTTTAACATAAGATTAGGTAAAAACTGAGGCAAAAAACATACTGCTAGAGCATTTTTTTATCTGGAGAGGGTCAGGTAAAAAGCGAAATCCAATTCCTTCAACCTTTAGCATATAAACCTACCAGATGTAATGATAATAAGTATGTGATATAGTGCAGATGAAAAGGTTAGCAGAAAAATATACAGTTAAAAGAACCAGAAAAGTAACTTATGTCCAACTGAAAACCTTCCAAAACTTATTACAAACAATTGCAGTTTAAAAGAAAAGATACAGTAAAATCTGTTAAAAATAACTATGGGAAGGTTCCCTTTGTTTGTTTCAACAAAATTAATGCTCTTACATTAGCAAAAAAATGAAACAAGTAGCTATTAAATTTCAGAAAATTTGATAAAGGAGTGGATACATAAAATTTACAAAGATTATCTGAATGGTTGAACAATCTTATGAAAACATATTTTTTAAGCATTGATAAACCATAAGCCCCTATCATGTAAACATGAGCAGATGTGAAGGAAACACCCTGTACCAATTCATGAACCTACTTTAAGCTTCTAGGTCCATTACTTATCATGATAATCCTTTACATTTTATCCATCTACAATCCATTGATGTGTTTGAAGTTTGAACCAAAAAAAAAAATACAAGATATAAATAATCATTCAACTTCAAGTAACTACAATCAATTTGCCTAAAATAGTTAAAGGAAAAGGAACAAGTAACTACATTGGAACTTTAAACCATTATAACTAAACTCTGCAATGAAGTCTAGTGTTTGCACCCTAACAACAATCATGTTTCCAGAAAAGACAGTGTACTTTCTTTGTCACATTTTATCGATCAACAAAATGCCATTCTACTTCAGGGACCAAAAAACATTTAGAACAACTAAATCACATAGCAGGGCAAACAAGATTGATCTTGGTAATATGAATCAACAAACAAGGACTAAGAAATAACCTGATCGAGGGTCATGGCCACGACTCTTGCTCCCTTACCCAAAATGGGTTGTCGTAGCTGAACCTAGAAAACCAGGGGAAATAAAAGGAATTTCCTAACTTTAAGAGAGCTTCCACGTCTACAGAACATCAAGAACCTCAAAATCAAGAATAGGAGCAAAGAAGAGACGGAATCTAAAAGGAGAAGATACCGAGAATGAAGAGAGGATGAAGAAGTTGGGCATCCTCTTGCCGAGAGCAAAGGATCCCGAGTGACCGGATGCTATCGTTAGGGTCGGAAATCAGGACGAACTCGTTGTTCGAATGCTCACGATGTACACCGCCGTCCCGGCGAGCGTCTTTGCCACGAAGTCCGGACAGAGCGCGAGGGCGAACGCGCGCTTCCCCTGAGCGAGCGCGGGAGGCGCCCCCACCAAGGCCGACGCGAAGGCGGGCCGCGGGGAGGCGGCGGCAGCCAAGGGGTTAAGGGGCGGTGAGCACGGCTCCATTGGGGCGGGAGACGGGGGGAGAGTAGTAGAAGCGATCGGCATCCCCCTCCCTCTCGTTCGCTGTGTATTCTCGCTTCTTATATTTTAAGAGATATTTTGAAGGGGAATTAATATTAATTAACGTCTCAAATATGTCTGTTTTAGCACGGAGAATTGCTACAACAGTTTATGTAGATAAATAAATATATATATATATGCAATTTCCTGTGATTTGGAGGAATAAATGTATTATATTTAAATATAGAGGAATAAATATAAAATTCAACTGGTTTGGCTATTTGGTTAATTACTTAAATAAGAGAATTTGTTCTTTTATTGGCTAATAAAGAGTATTAATCACGAAATAACAGTCTCATCTAACAAAATCTTTTATCTCCTTGTCATTTTGTGTTACTCTTTTTTCTGCTGTTAGAATAGTTATATATCTATGCATTTGTTATAATATAAGAGTTTAATATGTGGCAAAGAACCCATTCGGTCTTTTTTTTTAATGCATTACAAGGGTGCGTGTTGATTTGTGTTAGGAAATCTTTACGTTGTGACCGAGGTATTAGCATAGCTTGGTCTAATCCCAGATGCGCAAAGTTGTCCATGCGAATGCTTGGATAGTGGAAGTGAGCGTCGGGTCGAGTTGGGTTCAAGCCTTATCTCCCGAAGCTAGCCTTCTCCTTTAGCGGGTTGTCTACTTCTTCGTCCTTGAGTTCCTACACATAGGTCGAAATCGAGGAAAGAGATTTTCCAACTAGGCCCCTCCGAAGTTTAAGTTAGTGTTTGAGTGGAGTAAGAGTGAGTTGAATACTCAAAATCCTTCCATTGACGTTGGTCAGGGGATTAGTTTTTATACCTACGAACGAGAGTCGATCGTTACATGATCCGTTAATGATCGTCGACTCCACAAACTTAAAAAAATCTCCCTGGTTGCTTGCTGGGATTTAAAGATTGCTTGCTGGGATTTAAGGATGAAGAAGGAGTCTGATAGAATTAAGAGACCTTACAGAGATAATATATGACAAGTGGCAAGGATTCCAAGGTGATGCAAAGCTCCACACCAGTTTGATGCATACGTTGCTGCATGCCAATGGAGAGTTTGCAGATCTATGAACATAACTGATGCTGTATAATGATCTTTGAGCATTAACATCTTCTACCTTCCTATATCTTGCGGAACTGGCATTTAAGTAGAGGAAAGGCATGAAGAAACCTCGAAGCTACTGAAGGCTGCCAGAGATTCTTATTCTTGCCCTCCATATCTGCATGCTTCATGTTTCATCCTACCTCGAGCTTTAAGGAAACTTGTCATCCTTGGTGCACAGGACAAGAATCCTCAACCTTTCTGCTTCTTTCAGGAATCCTACTCTATCGCCAATCACATATATGTTTCATGGATATGGATGGAGACTAAAAATGCTCATGACTTCAGCGGCAGGTGCTAATTCATTTGTATCTCCCTTTCATCGGAGACAGGCAAATGTCATGCTTGATGATCCTGTGCCTTAATCTTCGGTCAACCTTGTCCAAGAAGCCTAATCCGAGGCTGGAAAAGATGATATCGACCAGAGAGAGGCAAGTCTCCGACCTGGGGCTGATGCGCAGGTACGAGCCCGACGAGGATGAGATGAAGCAGGTGTTCGACAAAATGTCGAACAATAAGGCGAAGATCGAGTTCGAAGATATGAAGGCGCTGCTGGAACGGTTGAAGGTTCACGACGCAGCCCACGAGGCGAAGCAGATACTGCAGACGGTAGGCTCGAACAAAGACGGCTCCGTAGATTTCGGCGACTTCATGGCGGTGCACAGGAAGGGAGGCGTGTGGACGAGCGACATAGTGAGTGCCTTCAAGATGTTCGATCAAGATGGCGACGGACAAATCAGCGCCAAGGAGATAAAGGACATGATGGGGAGGCTTGGCGAGGACTGCAGCTTGGAGGAGTGCCGGAGAATGGTGAAGGAAGTGGACAAGAATGGCGACGGGCTCGTGGGCATGGATGATTTCATGGCAATGATGACCAGAACCATGAAGCTGAGCCGATTGCCCTCCTCCTCAACAATAGCATTGCCCTGAACCATTTCCTGTATTTGTGCTATCTACTTGCAACACTGATTACATTTCTATTTACTTTATGATTCAGATTATTCATGTCTATCATTTATATTACTTATATGTTCATTTAATGCGGTATATTGGAAACCTCGGACTTTCAATTATTATTATTGTTATTATTATTATTGGTAAAGGGTAAGTGATAGATTGAAAAGTCGAAGAGTTAGTATTCATATGCATACGAAATTGTCTAATTAAAATTCTAATTTAGGTATGCCGCTCGATATGCTAATGAAATAAATTCACTAAAGCAAGGAATAATCTGAAAATGCTGATTATTTTAATTTAATTTGTAAACACTTTGACAGATTATCGTAATATCCTAAATTTGATTATCCTCTTTATCATTTATTCTTTATAATAAAAAGGATAAGAATTAAAACTATACTGATCGAAGAAAAGATGAAAGAGCAGTGAAGGCAAGTATAATTTTATTGGGCCATCAAATGGTATATAGTTGCTTGATGACCAATAAATACATGTACAAATACTTAATAGTTATTATCATGATGACCTATTAGATCAAATAACAATAAAGAGGTTAAAGATTAATATAAAGTCCTATTTTTTCCATTTTTGTTTTTTTTTTTTGAACATGTTCATTCTATGAGTGCCAATTTGATAATTCACAAGGAATATAACCCATATGAAGTCCTTCATGCACATGACTATATATCAAGCATATTATTACGTCATTCTATTGTCCAAATTCCCATGTCATCAGAATCTTATCATGATGCCAAAAATGACTCTTCAATAATATATATATATATATATATATATATATATATATATATATATATATATATATCAAAATCTGTCATTACACTTCAGTGTGTCAACAACAATCTCTAATACCACACATGAAGAATATAACACAGCATATTTGTACCTCAAGATTCCTCGATCCGATACCACCTCTCGGATTTTATGATCTTTTTCGACATGCAAAGTTATTCCTACGAGTTGTTTACACAATCCTTTGATGATTAACTTTTGTTAGTATGGTTTTTCTTTGTTTTGGACTTAGATAACTACATAAAAGAAGTTTAATAAGATATCAAATTATTATTATTGTGATTTTTGCACCTTAAGATTCTCCATCATGTCGCCAAATGGAATTTAGTGTTGGGTTGACAGCCCATATTCAGGTCATATGGGCTTTATCAACCCACAGCCCATACCCCCTCTTAACCTAACCCTAGATCAATATAAGGGGATGTGGTGGTTGCATTTTGGCAAGGAGATGACTGTTAGTAGCAAAGAGAAGAAGAAAAAGACAGAAAAACAAGAGAAAGAAAAGAAAGAAAATAAGGACAACGCAGAGAGACTGTTCTCAATTATCTAGCAGTGTTCTCATCTCAGATTAAATTAAATTTACAGTAGACTTTTACTGTGATTACTTGGGGAGGTTTTAGATATTGTGGATAGCGACGTGATCCTTATATCCCAGTTGTTCTCTTGTGATTGTTGCTAGTGTTTAGGGCAAGAGATTGAGATTTGTATATTCATTATTCTCATAGTGGATTATCTCTAGTTTGCCCCGTGGTTTTTACCCTTCACATTGGAGGGGTTTTTCATGTATATCTTGGTGTTCTATTTGATTGTGATTTCATTTAATTCCATTGCATATCATAGCCTGCTAGTATTTGTTTATATACAAAGGTTATTTCGCTTTATATCCCCATCATTTAGGGCTCTTAACCATCTCGATAGATGATGAACACAATATCAAGCATTGCCATCCATCCATTAGAATCATAATTTTATTGGTTTTGCTTCCTCAATCGATCATCTACGTCATATTTAGATTGAACTTTTGTAGAACTTCTTTCTTTTTCGAAAGAAAGTAAAAAACCAATCAAGGAATCCAATATTACAGGATTCAAGATTGGTGTTCCTGAATTGAAGCAACCCAATCCAATGTTAGAAGTGATTTTGAATACTAATAGAGAGACACAACAAAGATTTCCCCATAGGACACATGAGAAAAGGTAGAACAGCCCTTGGATTATTTTTGGTATAAGAAGCACAACGTACACTTCGACATCTAATGATACATAGGAATATGATTCTTCCTTTTAACGCTATTGCATGAGATAGAGAGTCTTACGTCGTAGACAATATACTTAGCATTCGAAGAAGCCTAGCGACGATCGGGCTGAACGTAAACAGCTTAGGCAAAGTGCTTCTTCTCAGCATACTCCAAAAACTTCTGCTTTTCCTCCTCACTATCGATGACACCATTACCATTAAGGTCAGCATTTTTCATCGCAAAGTGAGTCCTAATGCTCTTAAAATGGAAGTGTCTGTCCTCGAGAACTTTGCGGATCTCGCCCTTGCTTATTACTCCATCGTTGTTAGCGTCAGCTCGTTGAAGAAAATTCTTGTTCTGAACTGGATCCACGATTTCTCGAGTCGGAAAATGAGCGGTCGCCATTATACGAAGAAGAAAGATATATGGTGGTGGTATATGTGCTATGATCTGCTCTTTGGTTTCGACCTTATTTATAGTGCTCCCACTCATGTATTCATCCTCATCCCAAAAGGAATCTGCAACATTCTTCTAACTATATTTCAGGTTATTCCTCCATGAAGTTTTAGATCTATTAACCCAACAGAATCTTACTTTTGTCTCTGGATATTATTTATCTACAATGTTTGGCTAACAGGTGAGTGAGAGAAATGGAGGAGTGAAATCAAATCATAGATACCGAAAATAAATAATGTTGGCCAACCAGAAAACCTACTTGTCAGTTCTATGCTTGTTCTCAAGCTAGGGGGGTTAAGTGGCCGGAAGAACAAGATACTGAAGTGACCACCTGACCAAATTATTCTCGGAGCCTTTATTCTCACTTGATAATGTCCAAGAAACATGACGTGCATGACACTCCTCCATGCAAAAGCCTACTGGGCATCTCACGAACACTAGGTTATCCAGATTCCTATGTTGACTGCAT